GGCTCAACTTTATAACAAATGTAGTAAAAGCGAAAAGGCTTCTTTTTTCTGCTCCCACGGACTGAAATTGCTGTGTACTTGCCACAATTTTAGTTATATTTCCTTTAAGATTTAGTATTATTTAATATTTAAAACTTATATATTAAAAGAAAAAATTGAAAAAAGCAGTGTATGACTGCAATAGACTACATGATAAAGTTATCTTAACACTGTGATAGCAAAAAAGAAATGATTATTAAAAGAAAGCATACACGCCGTGTATACAATAGATTAACGGTAAAAGAAGAGAACGACGTAACCATGAGCACAACACACATACACGCGGCCTGTTCTTTTCTTTTTCTCACTATGTGTGTGTTATATAGGTTCAGAAGGATAATATAAGATATAATACAGACGCAAGTGTCTGTAAGTATTGCGCGTGTTCTTGCAAATGAGACATAACAAAGAGGTTAAACAGTTAACAATGACTAACTAAGGATTTTTGGTTACACATTCTAAGGTTCAAAAATAAATAGGAAACGAAAGATTCTTGTCTGAAATGACACGAGAGAAAATTCGGCCGGAATACCTTCATGATATTCCTCTGGTGAAGCAAACTGCTGTTCTGATATTATTTGGAAAAAGTATTCCAGCAAACGGTAACTCGCTCACATATTATACTGACTCAACCTAAAACCTATGGTAAAAATGGTGTCTCTCAAAAGTAGACCTTGACAAAAAGAGGGTTCCCAGGTCAAAAATTTTGAAAGTGGGACATTTAGAGCAAAACGTGGAACTGCAGCTGCTCAAAAGTGGGATGAACAGCAGGACATGACGTTTTTAACAGTTAAATTCTACGTTTACATGAACTTTACTATTCTTGTAAAGAATGGGTAAAAATAAACAAAAAACCCTGCAGAGCTGACAGGTCCTCGAAAGTTTAAGCAAAGGAGATAGAAAAAATATTGGTGCGAAGCGCAATAATTTTTGATGACCTCTTATTTGAGGAAAAAAATTGTTGCAGAGATAATATAGATTTTTGTGACATTTTTTTTCGGAAGGAGTCGCTCTATCTATTCCTGTTGCCCGTCGTGTTAGCAGGATCTCTCTAGCTTAAGCTAGAGAGATCGTGCTAGCTTCGTTAGTGGAGAGTTAATCAGTTTTCTTCATATCTACTATCAAATCCTCTTAAATCCTTAACACTTGAATCCTCGTATTCATACAGTTCTTGCAAACTCTGCTGTGGTTTGTACAAAAAATACAAACAAACGAACTGCTTAGAAGAAAACGGTACTAAATCGAAACACTCGTTGGGCGAAGAATGATCACATTACGAAGCGGAAAAAAATTTCTGTCAGAAGGTTCTCAAATAGGGCTTATTTTCACATAGTTTAGTGGCATTGTATAGTTACGTCTTTGTAAGATTTTTAAGTTAAGTTATGAACTGTAAGATTGGTTCAAAACCGACAAAAAAAATGATTCACAGATTGCGACCGGCGAAAAAGAATATGGTCCCGTTTTTTAAGCTTCAGCATTAAAAATTTAGATTTTTGGGCGTTTTAGCAAAAACAATTTTTTCCTGAAATTTGGCAAACTTTTATCACTTCTTGGACGAAAATTTTGAAAAATGGCGTTTATTTTGCTTGCTAAAACGAGACCGAAGAGTCGGGATTAGAATTAAAAAACTTTTGTCCCGATAGCTCGTAGTTACTTTCCAATCATAGTTGAACTCATTTTCATTTCTTCCTATTCTATTTCTTCAGCAACTAGATGTATCGCGCGTTTTTGTTACATACAGATTTTTATAGATTTCGCTGACCGATTAGTCTCAATTATGGAACAAATAAATTCTTAATTATATACGAAAAGCGTTCTGCATTATATAAAAAATGTTGGACATCACTGCATAATGGATCCGGTCTTTTTTTGTATGTGTCAGTTAAAGTGAGAATAACAAAAACACAAATCTTCAATCACACACGTATCTATAAGAATAAAGTAGAATTTTTTTTATGGCATACACAGGTCGTTCTGCACACTTTGGAATTTCTAGCAATGTTAATACACTCTTTTTCTACGCGATGTTTGTTTGTTGCTCCGGCGATTGTTGGCTTCATCATATTTGTCTGAATGAAGTATTTGAGTAATTTAATAAACGTTCTGATTATTTTTTGGTTGTTATCTAAAGCTTTGTTCGTTGAAATCATTTTTATGTATTTTTTACGCACAAGGAATTAATCTTTTCTCCTTTCTACATTTATAACACCTATATACATAAACCATACACAGTACATATGTACATATTCACATTTGCATAAATGTTTGACGTTATATAATATTGAATACTGTGCCATTGATAGACTGTGCAAAACATTTTCTCGATACGCTTGTAAAGGGTTGTGTACAATGAATGAAGTAGAGCAGAAGGTAAGCTAGAATATACGTCGCTAAGTAGAAATTCCTTCGTGTCAATGGAAATGGTGGATAACCAAAACAACTTTTGCTCACCTCCACGAAAGTTGTTAGGGTATGGACAGATGCACTGAATGACGTGAGAACATTTAGCATGTGATTTTCTGCCGAGTGCAAATTGTTTTACACTAGAAGCGTTTATAGTGTTGTGAGGTAACTATGATTAGACCTTGAAAATTCTATCGTATTTCTGAAATAGTTCCCTCAATTTTTATCTTGGTACAGTGGAATTTTACAGATACCTCGACTACCAGTTAATGTAAAAGTTTTTTAAGATTCACTAGCGTTGATTCTCGCTGCCATTAACAGTTCATCATCAACACAGCTAAAATGTCTGATATAAACGTAAAACAACGTAGTTTTAACGATGATCTTTTACCCGTCTAATTAAAAATTAGTGGATTTTGATTCTATCACCTATATGATTTGCACGCCATTTGGACCTGTGGTTAGTTAACTAGAAACTATGAAAATCAGCGTTTTTAAGTAAAACTCATTTGGAGCAATTACGGATAGACAGCTGTTTCTCATGACATAACTGTGATTATACAGAAAGACAGAGGTTGAATTGTACTAATTCGTAGAAATCGATTTTAGTCCAAAACCAAATATGAAACTTGTTCTTTATTATATCGGGTGAAAACTGAAAGAAAAATAGATGCTTCTAGAGATGATTCGTAACTTCTGAATAATTATTGCCGACCTCATGCACATTTTTATACTTCGTCTTTGTCAGTCTAACGAAGTCATGTTATGATCTATGAGAAATATGCTCGATTAAGCTTGTAGAACGTCCTACAAGATTTCAATAGGATGTTGGAGTTCAACTGATACATGTCGAATACATTTTATTAAACGGAAGGCTTTATTAATATATGAGAACGAGTACTTTATCCCGCCACTAAATCAGCTTGGTTTTGAAATATCCTAGAGGGCTTTTCCTAACAAAAACTCCTTTTTTCAATATCAGGAATAAAAGGCAAAACGGTTTAGTTTTTTTCACCGAAACTCAAACAAAGCGTTTTTCCAGGTTTCTTCCTATTTCCTACAATAATTTTCCTTTCGTTAAGTATATTTTCGTTCAATATGTCTTCAATATGTTAACAACATCTCGAACAAAAACTCCCTAACTGAGAAGTCAAAATTTACTTCATTAGTTTAGGTATTCGCAATATTTCTTTATTCAAATTAAAAATCAAGAGAAAAACTCTGTTGTCCTCGATTTTCTCTCGGTGCCATTTAACTTCTCTACCTCCACTTGAAATGCATCAAGATATCTAATCCAGAAACTTATTTCGAGCGCTGTTGTCTCTTACTGCTAACAAAAGACTACACTTATTTGATTCGTGCTTAAAAACTGCTTGGGAATACTCTCGCACCGCCACCATTTTTCAGTTGTTTAAAGCTATCCTAAGGATACCTGCTTCCAAGGCTCAATAGTTTAGAGCAGCGATCTTGTACTTATAAGATACCGAATTCGGATGACAATTGAAGCGGAAGCTTTTTCGAGAGTATTGGAAAAGATTTCATTACACTCTTTACGAAATTTTTCACGAGTTCAGAACTTCAATCTATACGAAATAAATAGGGTTTCGAAATGAGGGGAAAACCTTTCAAAAACGCTTACAAGAATACAGAGATTTGCGACTATATAGAATAGAGAAAATTTCTGTAAAAGTGAAGAGCTCCCTCCAGAAAACTGGGTGGACATTTTCTGAAACCGTTATTCCTTCACCACAGTTTTGAATGTGTGAGTTGTTTATCGATTCTTAAACTATAGCTTTCTTTAGGATAGACCTTGATCTCAGTAGCAAGAGAGATATTTGTATTGACAATATCATAGCTTTGCTAAAAACATAATCCTTTTTTAAATTCAGGTGTGTCCACAACGTTTAGGATAGAAACAGTTCGAAATGTTGAGCAAATGGATTCAATAATTTATAAGTGGCTCATAAGAGAAGACTGGAATATAGCTCTGGATGAAGCACTAACAAATTATCAAAGTGATCCAAATGGCATCTTTATTGGTTATTTGAACAATGTTGTTGTATTGCTGTTCGAAAATATGGCGACAATGGTGGTTTCTTTAGTTCGTATTACGTCGTCCCTGAACGTAGGAAAAAAGGCTATGGTATAAAAATATTTCTGCATGCAATGACTTATTTAAATGGCAATCGAAATATTGGATGTTATGCGGTTAAAGAACAAGTATCCAATTATGAAAAATCAGGTTTTAAAGCGTATGGCAATGTTAGCAGATACCAGGGGCGGTTAGTACTGGTGCGTAGCCCAAAATTCGCTCTTAGTTTTTGTTGAAAAGGACGATTTACTACGACAAACTTTTATCTATTTCAGGTAGACAGTGAGTTAGTATTGAATTCAGAGTTTTCTATCGTTCCGTTAACAAGTTTACCTATTGAAACAGTGCTGAAATTTGATCAAACTTACTTTGGTCTGATACGGTCAGAAGCGTTTCTTCACGCATGGATATCATCAAAATCAGCGATTGCTTTAGGAATTATTGACAAAGAGAACAACTCGTAGCCATGAGTGTTATTCGTCGCACAATCAAAGCATTTAATATTGGTCCACTATTTGCCGAAACGTACGATTTTGCCAAAATACTAATAAATGAATTACTTAAACTTCTACCGTCGACTACGACATCGCCTATATCAATTGATGTACCTAGGAGAAATTTTCAGGCTGTAAAACTTATAGAAGAACTGCATATGAAATGGGAATTCGACACGACAGAAATGTGGACAAAACAATTACCAATGGGAAATGATCGAACAAAAATTAATGGTGTTTATGGAATATTATCCTATGACTTGGGTTAGATATAATACGAGAGATTTATCTACCAGTAATCTTAGTCTTTTCTTGCCTTTGGCTAAACCTGACGATTCGGAAGAACAAGCTTATAGATGCACACTTTTCCCAAAAGACAGATAAACAATGTTCCGGCATGGGTTCTGTGTCGAAGTAGAAACGACTTTGAATGAAGAAATTTAAGTTAGAATCGTACTTCAATGTACATCGGCTTCTGTCACTGGTACCCACACCTATAAAGAAAGTTCAAAATTCCAACTGATATCCAATAGGCCGATATAGTGCAGTGAAGTGAGGGCGCAAAGTTGAGAGTGAGCCGTTCCATACTATTGAAGTTTTAGCCAGATAGTGGAAAAATACTGCTGATAACATCGGGTCGATTGCACAACCTGAATCGTTGTACTGAATAAAGACACAGAGCAGTGGATTTAGCTTTACAGTAAACTGTAAAGCTA